GTTGGCACAATAAACTAACTACCTCAGGCTCCATCCTAGAAGCAACTTGCCTCACCGTCCTTGATTTTATTGCCCCAACAAGCCATTCCCATATTTCCTATGCATACAATGTGACACCTGCATAGTACACACATGCGCAGAGCATAGGAAACTGACACATGAGGGGGTTACACGTTTGCTAACTATATACACACATACATGTATATGTGTGTGGGTGTATGGCATGCTTTTAGTTGTGTAGAGATAAGATACATTTTTGTTTAAGGGGAAGAAACCTCAGGAAGAGGTGGGAAAGAGAAGATTCTAGATCTCTCAGGTATTGGCAATCAAGGGTTTCAACTCTTGCCTCTGTGGAACTGCAAGCCATCACCTCTTTAATTTGTGCTGCCTTCTTCCCATGTCCCACATCTGTCTTGTGCTGTCAACGTGGTGACTACGGGATCCCTGTCCCTCTGTGGCATTGGGCCCGAGTATTACTAATGCTTTGATATTTGTACTCTCAACTTTTAGAGAAGATGCTGGCCCCATTGCTCACCCCTGCTCTCTCTGAGCTAGGTGGAACACAAGTTCTTGAGTTACCAGCCCCGGGTGGGTTTGAATTGGTGGGCATATACCCCCAGGGACTGAGCCTCCTTCCTCATGTCACACCCTTGACATCTCCTCAGACTGCAGGCCAACCTTGCTCATTAAAAACATTTCAAGTGCTTTTAAATAAGATTATCTTCACATGGTACCAAGAAGGGTCTGCTCTCTCTGGGTCCCAGAAGTTCTCATTCCTACTGTCTCAGAGATGACTATGGTAATAGTCGTTAATTGTATAGCCTTCCAGAGCTACATTTACAGGAGCTTAGGAGCAGCTGGTGGATTCGAACTGCTGACCTTTGGGTAAACAATCCACTGTACTGCCAGGGTGTCACGAACTCCTGCTACACAGAGTTTGGCAGCTTCTTTACTTAGGGTAACAGGCCATTTCCCGTGACTGGAGAGAGCACTTCTTTACACTTTATTTCTTCTCTTTTCATAGTTGTACAAGATTCCATTGTTGGGATGAACTAGAATGCCTTTGCTTTTTATTGATACACATTCCTGCTGATTGTTAAATTTTGCTGCCATGCAAACCTCTGAACACATAGGCACTAACACTGTTTAAGCACTGACACACCCAGACCGAAAGTAGCTCTATCGAGGTAGGCTTTCCCCCCAATAGCTTTTGGGAAGGAGCAGCTGACTGATTTTTGGAGCCAGGACCCTCGGTTCTTTACTTAAAGACTCAGGTAAGGTCTAGTTCAGATTTTTTTTTTTTTTTTAACATTACAGTCATTTATTTTTACTTCCCATTTCCCCCCAACCTCCCTTGGCATGCCCCTAGGTATTATGCATCCAGTGACTATCACTCTGGATTCATCTGTCCTGGATTTCATATGCAGCAAAGCAAACAAGACACAAGCAAGAAGCAAATAAATGAAGCTAACGACAATGAGTAGACAAAGCCAAGAAAAACTTCAATCGAAAAAAAACCCAAAAAAGCTGAAACCACATAAAAATGATTTCAGGGAGAGCAAACGATAAGCTATCACATTTTCACCTAACTACATCTGCCACCGTTGACTTTGAGCTCTCGCCTGATATACAACCATACCTGTATGCCACTCTACGCCTGTGAAGATGCCAGCCGTGGCAAACGCCTGAGGCAGTGCTCATCTGCACCCTACGCTCAGTATGAGCTGGAACTGATTCGACAGCCGGGTGTGGTGTGTGGGCTTTGGGTGGGGGTGGGTTGAACCCCAGATTTGATAAAAGGCAAATGTGTGGTTCTCTAACGGTACCTGGTTTTAGTCCATGAAGTTTAAGTGCATCTAGCAGGTGCCCACATCGGTCTGGGGTGCTTCCCCACTGAGTAGCTGATGATCACCTGGAGGAGTCGGTGTGGTGGGCGCCTTCTCCTCTGGGTCTGCTCTTTTCACTCGTACCTGTCACCATCATCCCCGCAGACGTGCTCTGGGGCATCAGGGCCTTATTTGCTGAGACACTTGTTTCAAGTCCCCTCTTTGGCTTCTTGATCAGCACCTTGTGCCTGAGGGTTCTCTGCTGCCTGTAGCCTCCTGCCACATCTGGCTTGGGCTGCCATTGACTGTCATTCTCTGGACAGGGTTACACACTCTCTCTGTCCTCTTTGGCCCCTGGGGAGGGGGCCTCCAGCTATGATCAAGAGGGGCCTTTAAAACAATGGCGTCTCGGTGGTCCTGGGTAGCCTCGTTCAGTATCCCAGGCCAGTAGTAGGGTGCGTCATCGTGTCCAGCTTGGAATCACAATAATTGCCCCACACAGGTTGCTCCAGGAGGGGCCCTCTGGTCCTGATCCAGAAGGTGGTACTACCATCACCCTGGCGAATTTCCCCTCCTGGTCTACCGGAAACAGTCTTCATGAGTGTAGTGCTTTCCCAGCATGGGTTCCCCAGAGCACCACCTGCAGGGTTGGTATTAGCTCTCAGAAACCTGTTGGTCCTTCCACAGCTCGAGGACCCAGATACGCATGGCAGACTCTGCTCTGAGGAGCCCGTTGCTGTGGATGACTGCTTCAAGGTGGTCCCAATGCAGAGCCCCCTGTGCACAGTGGAACAAGACCCTGCCTGACCCCGGGCCATCCTGTCGACTGGTTGTCGAGTGAAGCATTGTGATCCATAGGCTTCCCCTTAGCTCAGTGGTTCTCAACCTTCCTAATGCCGTGACCCTTTCATGCAGTTCCTCTTGTGGTGGTGACCCCCCCAAACATAAAATTATTTTCGTTGCTGCTTCATCACTGTCATGTTGCTACTGTTATGAATCAGGCCACGCCTGTGAAAGGGTTGTTCAACGCCCAGGTTGAGAACCGCTTTTTAACTGGTATTCACATGTAGTTTGCCAGGCCTTTCTTCCTAGTCTGTCTTTGCCTGGAAGCCCTGCTGAAACCTGTTCAGCATCCTATCAACACATCAGGCCCCACTGACAGGTGGGGGGTGGCTGCCCAGGACAGTCCTGGCTGAGAATCTTACCCAGGTCGCTGACACCGGAGGCACGAACTTGACTGCGGAACCCTGGGTGGCTCAGCCCATTATTAGGGCCTGAGAACCACTCTCTAGCCAAGTGCCCACCTCTCGCTGGCCTCGAAACCCCTAGGTGAGGGAGCCATGATGAACTGGTTTTTCCACTTTGGGACAGAGCACAGCTTCTCCACCTGCGGCTTTGAGAGGTCCCGTGTGCATGAGGACCTTGTTAAGAGACGCCCCCTGACATCCTGCTTCTGAGCCTCCACTTGGGGCTGCCCAGTAGGTTTGTTTGCTGTCAGACTGATGATGCCTCTAGCCTGCTGCTCCCCAGCAGTGCTGATCACCTGCTCTGACCAGACCTGCCCACATCTGGGCCGTGGTGTTGAGGGTGTGACCCCTAAGACCCCCAGGAGCCTCTTGTTGAATCAGAAAGGTAGTCTTCCAGACAGACAGATTTTCTGTGCTGGGGAAACAAGCGCTCTCCTCACACAGCACTTGCCCGTGGCATTGCAGGGCTCCTTGGGGCGCAGGAATTTAGAGCACAGGTGTTCCTCTTGTCCCCTGACCCAACCCTGTGTGTGTTTCTGTCCTGCACTTAATGCTGAACCCTCCTGTTCTGTCCTCCCGTGACCTGTGGGAATGAGCTGGCGAGGGGTGGGGAGGGGAGTCCGTCCCCAGAAGGGCTTGGGCTTGTATCAAGAGCCGGAGCTTTTGTGTTGGGGTGAAGTCCCGGAGAGTCAGGAAGAGCTGAGTTTGTGTTGGGGTAAGTAAACGAAGCCATTTGAAGTCCCGGAGAGTCAGGAAGAGCTGACTCTCTCAGGAGCTCACCGGATCTCAGAGCCAGTTAGTCTTGTTTGTTTAGCTCCCTGGCCTTGCTTGGAGAAAATCAAAGCCGGTGCAGCAGGGCTGGAATGGCTCATCGCTGGTCAAAGGAAAACAGAGCTCGGGTTGCTCTGTCAAGCCAAACCCCCTCATCCATCTTCCTTTTTTCAAGCACTTAGAACTTGGCAATGATCTCACGATGACATGTGTATTAGCCACTAGCTCCCTCGAGAAGCCACCCACCTGAGACCAGAGAGCTGGGCCTCTCATTTGCCCGTGCAGTCCTTGGGCTGGACCTCATGTCAGGTGCATAAAGCACAGCTTAATCAGTGCTTGTCACCCGGATAAGTAAAACCCACCTGTGCTCATTCCCTTGAGGACAAGTAGGAAGCCCTTCTCAGGGGTGGGCATCTTGGGTGGGTTTGGAGGGAGAGGGGCTGGGATGCCTATTTAAAAAAAAAAGTTCAACTGGCAGAAGGTCTGGGTTGGAGTCTTGGCTCTTGCCACTGGCTTACTCTAGGGCCCTCTCTGAGTCTGTTTCTCTCTGCAGAATTGCTGCCCATTTTTCCCCACCCACCCACTTTCCAGTCCTCCATGGACGAGCTAAATGAAGATGGCTTTTTAAATAGTAAAACCAAACCAAGCTCACTGCTGTGGAGCGATGCCAACTCACAGCAACTCTGTAAGACGGGCTAGAACTGCCCTGTGAATTTCTGCCCCTGCAACTCTTTAAGAGAGTGGAAAGCCCTGTCTTTCTCCCACAGAGGGGTCCGTGGTTTTGAGCTGCTGACCTTGTGGTTAGCAGCCCAACTTCCCACTAGGTCACCAGGCCTCCTTTTACACGAAGTGCTCCGCACGTGAAGAGGACCAAACCACGCTGGTCTTCCTGGCCCTTCCTCGTCTCATGAAAGTTAGGGGGCCTTGCCAGTCTCTGCCAACCCTGTGAGCAGCAGTGGCTACCTTTGCAGAGAGAACTAGGAAGTGGTCTCCCCCTCTAGGACGTCCATCTGCCCGGTGCCCTGACCACACTGGGATGTGGGGGAAAGTGTCGCCAGGACCCAGGAGAGGGCATTCCCTTCGTCCACCATTGCCCACTGGTCTTCCGGCGACCTGCTTACCACCAGATGTACCATCCATGTTTCTCTCTCCTCAGGCGGCTGCTGAAGAGTGAGCTTGGATCATTCATCACAGACTATTTCCAGGTAAGCTCGCGGGCCAGGGCACCCCCCCTACCCCCCGTTCCTGTGCACATGGGTATTTGTGTACCCCAGGGCCACCCTTCAGCACCCGGAGTTCCTGATTCTGAGCCCTACCACGCACTGGGTGGCCACGGCAGAGGAGCAGGAGCCGGCCGAGGGCCCTGCTCTCTCAAAGGTTTGGTCTCCTGCCGCCCACCCAGCTAAGTGTTTTGGCCCCAGGACCCTTTTACACTCTGAGAATGTATTGTTGATTTGGGTTCTCGTGATTCTTTTTTAAAACAAGCAAGCAGAAAGAAGTACAACCAGAATGCTCCCCAGAAGCAAGGATGATGAGATGCCGTCTCTCAGTCTCTGGACCAGGGTCTGCTTGGGGAAGTAGGAGGGGCGCACAAAAGAGGCAGACTCTTGATGGGGATGAGTTGACCCAAAACAACAACTGTGAAGATGGCTCAGAACAGGCTCTTGTTGCGTGATCCCTTGTATATACGGTCGCTGTGAGTTGGTGCTGACCCAGTGGTACCTAACAGCAATAGTTATCCATCTTCATATCTGGTGGGTATTAGATCGTGGCTATCGGGGTGTATTAGTCTGGGTACTTTGGAGAAACAAATCCACAGCAACTCATGTATAAGAGAGAGTTTTATGTAAAGAAAATGTGCATCACGAAAACATCCCAACCCAATGCTGCCCAAGCCCACAAGTCCAGCATTAACCCATTAACCCAACACCAGTCCACAAAGTCCTCCACCTCACAAAACAGAGGCAATGATGCCGACTACAGGAGGAAAGCTGAGTCAGTGAACGAATAAGCATCTCAGCACTAGCAGGGGTCTCCACACAGCTGCTCCAGCACCCAGGGCTGCATCGGGATAAATCCATGCGGCTTCTCCTTGGGGATGTCTTGTAGGAAGTCATTCTTGCAAGCTGAAGCAGGGAGCTGCTAAGGCAGCTGCATCCTGGTGCGACCATCACAAAGCAAGAGACCCGAGAACTAGAAAGGCAAGGCTCACCAAGCCATTTATCCCTCCGCCCTTCAATTAACCCCACGTGTTTATCGGCCAGGTTGGCACAATTAACTAACTCACGGGGTATGAAAGACTGAAGCAGAGAGTTAATCGTATGCCTTAATTCATTTAAAGAATAAACTCACCACCTACTGACATCAGTTATTTTTTCATGATAAGTAACCATCAACATCTGAGGAACCTGAGTCAGAAGGGTGGCATTGCTTGATATGTTTGCAGCTCTCTACTGTCTGGCTGAACGAAAGATGGCTGGAATCTTGTGCCTGCTTCGGCACTTAGCCTGCAGTGATGCTGTACAGCATGCCGCTTCAGGAGACTGTGAGCGAGAAGGTAGCAGGGTGGGTTTGCGCATGATACGGTTTTGACCATTTGGATCCCTTGAAGGCTCTGGAGGCATCCCCAAGAAATTCCAAGCCACAGGTTGAAAACTGATGCCTCTAGTGAAATCCTCTCTCCTTCCCTGAAGCACGGTAGTTAATTGGGTGTCATTATATGTGTCATTTAAACTCAAATTCAGTACCATCAAGGCAATTCTGACTCTATAGGCAGAACTGACCTGCTCTTGCGGGCAGAAAACCTCATCTTTCTCCCTCAGGCTGATAGGCGGGTTTGAGCTCCTGACCTTGCAGCACTCCAGTGCTCCTGGGTGACCTTGGGCCAAGCTCCTGCTCCTGACAGGAGCGATTGGCCCAGATGGCCTAACATCCTTTCTGCCTTAGAAATCATTCTCATGAAGCTAATGAATGCCAGGACCTAGGTCCAATCATCCCCAGATAATTTCCAATCATTGGACACAAGCCGAGTTCCAGACTCTATCCAAGTGCATGTGTGTGGGGAGGGCCAGATGGGAGTGGAGTAACTGTCTAGTGTAAGGAAAGAAGTCAATACCCCCAGCCTTTCCTCTACCTGCTGAGTAGCCTTGGGCAAGTGGCTTTACTCTTAGACCTTGTTTTTTTTTTAATGTAAAATAGGAATAAAAACAGGACCTATGTCATAAGGTCATGAAGTAGTTTACATGCAATAACACCTGTACAGCACATCGTGCTTGGTGGGGGCTGGGGGTGGGTGGGGTGGGCAGCATGGGGTAGTGGTCAGGAGTGTGGATGCGGGCTTGTAGGTACCCTCAAGGACAGCATCAAACTGCCCTGTGGCTGTCAAAGCTGTCACTCTCTACAGGAGCAGAAAGCTGCATCCTTCTCCTGAGGAGTGCCTTGTAAATTCCAACTACTGACCTTGCAGTTTGCAGCCCCGCTGTTAACCCAAAGTGGGTGATGCAGCCCCTGGAGGGGAGCGGGAATGATGCAGGGGCTACAAAAGCAGACACCTGAATTTGGTTATTGCAGGGATGGGGCTGGCAAGACGTTGACTCTTTTTTTTGGTTTTCCCCTGGGGCCAAAATTAAGGTTGGGACCCAATGTACTACCCCAGCAGGACTCCTTCGGGGCCTCCTAAGTGCTACTTAAAGGTTTATCGAATTTATCTGTGTGTGTAATCGTATTCTCAAGTAGAAAAGTAACATCAAAACGCAGTCTGTTGCTTACACCTTGGGGATGCTATTCCACATCCAAGCAGACCCTCTTGTTATCTTTTAAAGATACTTTTAAAAAGTAACCATTTAGGCAAACTATTCTAACTCACCTATTCCTACCCCCACCCTACCCCTACCCCAAGATCCAGGAAGCTTAAATTTTTACGTGCACTTTAAAAGGATCGTAAATGTCAACAAAACCCAAAGCAGTTCCTCTTATTCTGGGCCAACTGGGACCCACCAGCAGCTTGAAGTTCACTTGAGTCACGAAGTCTCGGCTGCTGGGAAGGAAGAAAGCTCTCATTCAGGGAAAAGCAAACACAAAGATTAAGAAAGAGATCATTAGTCACAAATATGATTCAGCCCCGTTGCCCTTGACTCAAAGGTCAGGCCGGCCCTTACGCTCTTTTCCCGCTGTCTCTCGTGACTGATTTTAAATCCAGTTGCAGAGAAGTGGTTTTTTAATCAGCCCCAGAATCACCGGCTGGGCTGGGCTGCCTTCTTCATTGACATTTGAAATAGACCGACTTTGGTGTGGTTTCAATTGGCTTTTAAATGTCAGTTTTCTTTTGGCATCAGGGCCACCCCAGGAGGGTTGGGGAAAGGCAGGTGGATTGGTTTGTGGGGGCAGTGGATGCTGCTTAGAAAGCATCTCAGGCACGTAAGAGACAAATTAATAAATCACTTGTTCCTGGGACCCTAATCTGAGAAACTGCCTGGGGAAGATGGAGTCTGTTTCTAGCGGTGTGGGGTGGGGACTGGTTTCACAGTTTTGAACTTTGGTTTTTCCTTACTCTAAGAGAAAGAAGGCTATTCTAGGCTCTGCCCTTTGAAATGCAGGTTTTTAAAAGTTTCACAAGGGCCCAGAGCCATTCTGTCCTTAAAAAAACAAAAACTCCCAAAGCTTATTGGTTCTCTGTTGTGCATACAAGGTGTCTGACACACAACCAAAAATAAATAAAACACTTGAATTCACTGCCGTCTGCCGAGTCTGACCCTTCAGGACAGAGTAGATCTGCCCCTGTGGGTTTCTGTAACTCTAGGGGAGAAAGCCTCATCTGTGTCCGCCGGGCCGGCTGGTGGTTTCACACTGCTGACTTTGCGGTTCGCAGCCTGGTGTGGAACCCACTACGTGACCAGGACGCTCTTGCCTAGCCCCAGAGGCCATCTTTTTTTTTTTAAGTCTTAATTAAACAAACAAACAAGAAGTCAACACGTGAAGCTATTGTTTCTCTTTCAGAAAAACAAAACAAAAATGTTTTCTTGTGAACCCGGAGGTTTACAGAGCAGATCCTTAGTTTCACATTCAAAAGTTCATACACCTTTTGTTTCTGCTCATGCACTGCAACCCCCTCAATGTAACCCCTCCGTGCAAACCCCTTTATCCCACTTCCTCCCCGCGTTTCCTGTGGACTTTGTCCTTGAGTAAATGCTGCTGTCTGATCTTAAGTGGTTATTCTAAGACTGGGGTGAGCTCATGTCCGGACCTAACAGGTGACTGAGTCTTGGGGGTCCTCCCAGTGTTTACCTGCAAAAAACGGTGTTGAGGCCCTATCTGTCCTCCTTCGGCTACGCCAGCAGGAAGGAAAAGCCAACTTCACACAACCCCAAGGCTGATGCCCGTAAGGCTGAGATCAGACATGCCGTCACCCGCCACCCTTCTTTTATCCTATTCAGATACCCACCGTTCCTCCCTGAGCACGCAACTTTACTGCTGCGTTTGATAATCTGTTGCAATAGCCACACACAGAATTTACAAGTTAACAGTTTACTACAAGTCAGGATCATAAGCCACTAAGGATACAGTCATTGATTCTTAGTAACACTGCTCCTTGGCCAGCAGGCAAGTCTCTTTCTGGGTCCTCGGCCTCTCAAGCACACGGTCTCTTGACCTCTGTCCCCGTGGGCTGGGAAGCCAGCCCTCTGCTCGCCTCCTAGCCTCCGGTCTGCTCCTCTGCTCTGCCTGATGGTCTCCGTGCTGCAGCCCCTGGAGGGGGGATCTCTGTCGCTTCAGACAGAATTGTTGAGCAAGCTTCATGGGTGGCTCTTCTTCCTTGATAGTCCTGGGATTTCTGCGCTGACTCATCCTGGTAGCCAAGGGGAGGGCCGTTGAAAGGCACCGAGCCCGTCTGTAAGTGTTACATGCACTCAGTCATTTGGTGGAGGTTACAGAATGTGGATAGAAGAGCCTGGTTAGGAAATTTCCCCTCGCCACACCAGCCGACCAGTGAGCCTGAGCTCCTTTATGAGTCCCCCCCCCCCACATTTTTCAGACATCGTCTCTTATAAAGCCATCCTGTGGTTTTCTCTTTGAAAGTGACTATCTGACCGCTTGTAAAGACAGAAAGAGTAAGCTTCAAGGAGAGTAATGAGGTGACCTGAGAGGAAAGCAGGTAGAAAAATCGTGTCTTATCTTGGTTCTGCACCGAGAAGACAGACCATTTGATCCC